CGGTATACACAATTTGTATTTCTGTTTCATTGGCTAAAACTCAGTCATGTGGGCACATGATGCAAAAATTGAGAAATAGTCTGGAGGTATTCCAGTGAGGAGTAAGAAACAGGTTTAGGAAACAGACTGCCACAATCAGGTGTTGGAGCATTTAGGCATTTGCTTTTGATCTGAGTTAGAAATCTGGAGAACTGAGATTAGCGCTCTGGTCAGCCACTTTCAAAGCTACATGGTTTCTTCTTTGCCCACCTACTGCCCTGGTTCTGAGTCTTGGAACTCTCACAGCATCCAAGTCCTCCTAGACGGTGTGCCATTCTTCACTCTCGGAACTTCCCATCTTCAGCTCCTCCATTTCTGCCCTTTCCTTCCTCTCACTCTGAAAAGTTACCCAAGTCTCTTACGTTTAATTCCTCCCTTCATCAGGATCTACTGCTGCCACTCTTTATACCTGAAACTAGTAAATCAGAGGGTCTTAATTCCCTTTCAATGTTACGGATAACTTACAAAAACTAATTACCAAGCCCTGAACATGTTACCTCCTTCGCTCCCCAAAACAACTTCATTAATGAACTGGAGAAATGGCTCAGTGGTTAAGAGTCCATGCTGCTTTCCCAGAGAACCTAAGTTCAGCTCCCAAGCAACCCACATTGGGCAGATCATAACCACTTGTAACAGCTCCAGGGGATCTGATGCCTCTGTTCTCCTGCAGACATACACACAGACACATAATTTAAAATAAAATAATAAAATATTTTAAAATCCATTATATTATGATTTCCCTCATTTTCGAGGTGAAGAAACTGAAGTAGAAAGATTGTGATTCTGACTCACTGAAGGGAAGCAAATAGTATAAAAGAGATTGGGCAACATAGAGTTAACTGGACAAGTGCTTTGGAAGGTCACAAGCAAGTTGGAAGAATGACACAGAGTTCCTTGTGTGCAAGGAACTGTATGGAGGTGTTGGCCAGCACACTGACCAACACCACAACCTTCATCTTGAGCTTATTATTCCAAAGCCCAGAATGTCCTTGAAGATAGTCAGTAGCCATAGCAGGACTTCGTACCTAGATAGGAGCTGGGGGAAAGTACCTGGGAAAACGTTTGTGTCCTGTGAGTAATCATGTGCTTCTGCTTCTCATGCTGTGATTGTGTAGCAGGGTCAATAAAGGAAAAGCAAACGGGCCCTCCGGGCTTTCGCTCTGCAGGGCTGAGCCCTCTGCTACCTTTGAATTAAGCACTCCCCATGCATTCATACTTGCACTCATTCACACCTAGGCACATATATGAACACATACATGGATACACAGTCATGCACCCATGCAAGATATAAACACATCCACACTGGCACACATGCATATGCCTGTGTATGTACGTAGGCTCACACAGAAGTTCAGTAGCACTGCTGGATTGGAATCCACGTTGGACTTAAAGCCAAACACTATTCCTGCCACATCACTACAAGGTTGCCCCCAACCCACATAGACCTGCCCCCTCCAGGAGTCTCAGGTAGACCCCATTACAGATTAGAGGCTCCCATCAACAGCAAAATTTCAGCCTTAAGATAGTTTTCTCTCAGGCTAGGCGTGGTGGCGCACACCTTTAATTCCAGCACTCAGGAGGCAGAGGCAGGCGGATCTTTCTGAGTCCAAGGCCAGCCTGGTCTACATAGCAAGTTCCAGGTCAGCTGGGGCTACAGGGAGACCCTGTCTCAAAAAGACTAAAACAAACAAAAAAACATAATTTTCTGGAGGTTGGAGAGATGGCTCAGTAGTTAAGAGCTCTGGCTGCTCTTGCACAGGACCTGGATTTGATTCCCAGCACCCACATGGTGGGTAACAACCATCTATAACTCCAATTCCAGGGGAATCCAATGCTCCCTTCTGACTCCACAGGCATTGCACAACACAGGTGCATTTACACACATGCAGACAATGTGCTCATACACATAAAATAAAAATAATAAGCAAAATATTGTGGATCTCTGTGAGTTCAAGGCCAGCCTGGTCTCCATAGTGAATCCAGGCCAGCTGTGGCTACAGGGAGACCCTATCTCAAAAAGACCAAAAAAAAAAAAAAAAAAAAAAAAAAATATTTTCTCTTTT